AATTTTTAAGTATTGCATTAATCTAATAATGAACTTAACTTTATATCAGATAATTGCTTGTATTATACAAATATCTAAAGAATTTAAAGCCTTAATAGGAACATAGATAAAATGTATATATATAGTTTATAAATAAATAAAAAGCTTAGAATGAAATATCACAGTATAATGAAAACAGAAAAAATATTGTTCCTAGATCTTTAGACAATAATGATCATGAACATGCCAATTATCATGCAAAAAAAACACATGCACATGCAACGTCCAAAGTGGGCAGAGACTATGGTCCAGATCAAATATAATTTTAGAGAGAACAAATTAACTCAATAAACATATAATGTAAGATAAATAAAACAGTATGAATCATATGATAAAAAAAAAATAATTTCCAAAAAGATTTGATAACTCAATGATGTTTGAGCTATGGACCATAGCGCATGCTTAGAACTTGTTCCACTAACCTCGCGGCACACGAGGGCTGCTCACGAAGTCCTGAAGATCTACTAGAAGTTCTCAGCCCTGTAACACAAATAAATATGTATTAAAATAAAATTAAAATAATAAGTTATAGGCATTTTATCTTATACAAATACATAAGTTATTTTCTTTTCTAGCCAATCCTCCACCTCATTTATACCTTTCTATGTCATAGTATAATCTATTCAGTAACTGTTAATGAAGCTTTTAACGAAAGATCATTTTCAATAGTTAAGGTTACTACGGCTTCACTTAGACTAAGGAATCTATGTTTTTAAAAGGATTATAATATATATTCTATTACAACTAATTCTTACCTCGCTGCCGCAATGATGAGGTCGGTCTCGGAGACAGCGTGGAATCTGATGGCCTACGAGCTTCAGGAAGACCGCAGCAGTTTTGTGCAGATGTTTCTTGAACCTGTAAAGAAAAACAATTTAAGTATTATTATAACTCAATTTTGTAATACATTTGTCAGGAACCTCCAATATTCAACATAACCAAGTAATATAATGTTTAGTTGTAACTAACTCCCACCTCGCTGCCGCCATGACGCCGATGATCTCGAAGATTGCGTAGAATCGGATGACCTGCGAAGACAATACTTCCGGAAGACCGCAGCAATTTTGTGCACATGTTTCTTGAACCTGGAATGAAAAACAATTTAAATATGACAATAACTCAGTATACTTTTATTATTTATTATATTGTATTATACTATATTATATTATATTGTTACAATAGATATTATTTATTTCCTAATTGATTTAATGAGCCACATAGTAAGTATTTTTTGCCGTCCTCTCCTTCCTCGCCTTTTAGGCCATACGAGGTTTTCTCGGACCGGTGATGAAGCGGGGTATTAAATGCCAGGGTTAAAAGTCCTCTGCCTCTCTCGGCAACGAGACGCGAACTAAAAATTATTTTTATCAAATTACCTCATATTAGATTGCTGGGCAACGTGGTGCTGTGCACACGCGTTAGTCCGCTCGGCTCCTCCGCCCCGTACAGTAAATTGGTAGAAAAAGAGACCGAAAGTTAACTATAGACTTATGAGTGGGGAAACGTTTGAATTTTGTTTGTGTTTTTCTTCACCCATTCCTCATATTTTAAGCAATACAGGATTTTTCTGGAACAGGGGAGAGGGCGGGAAATTAATGCAGGGTTAAAAGCCCTCCTCGGTTTTTTGTACACGCACTGGTTAACCCACTTGGTGACACCGCTTCCGAAATGTTTGCATATTAAAACTCGAAGAGGATGTAGGACAAGGGAAGGCTAATTAGAATAAACATTTTTTCATAACAAAGAGTTTAAATAATATTTTATCCCGACCTTTATAATTGACTTAAATATATGACAATAAATATTTAGTGACTAATATTTTAGCGTGAAATATCTCAAATACCACATCTGGATGGGTTTACCATTTTCAACCTTAGTTATGCTGTTTCCCTCCATTTATCAGATTCATTTGTTAGGAACCCCTAATATTACATGAAACCATGTAATAATAAAATGTATAGTTATAATTAATTCCTACCTCGCTGCCGATATGATGCCGATGATCTCGGAGACTACGTGGAATCCGAAGACTTGCGAAGACAATACTACCTGAAGATCACAGCCGTTTTGTTTATATATTTCTTGAACCTGTAATGAAAAATACTTTTAAATATAACAATTACACAGTATATTATTTTTATTATTATATTTTATCAAACTGTATTGTTACATTATGAAATATTATTATACATCATTTATGATATTATTTAGTTATATAATATCATAGTATATTGTTACTTTATATAACAATACCAAAGTATATACTTTGGAAAAGTTCTATTCTACTAATATTATATTGCGTTAAATCATTTTAAGCAATCTCACAAAAAACATAAAACAGCTATAATTTATTTTTTAACAGTAAAGCCGCCATTCTAATAATGATTTAGAAAGTATCCTCACTTTCCAACGATTTTATTATAAAATTACAATATATATATATATATATTGTATATATATAAACATATATATATATATATATGTTTCTGCATTTTTCTTGTAGACATTTTAAGGTACGAAGTGGTTTTCGGTAGAACAAGAAAAAAATAAAATGTCTGTATATGTGTATATTGTAATTTTTATAATAAAATTGTTAGAAATGGTATGACGTGTATGTGCATAACTGTATACAATGTATATCAATGGTGTGAGATAACAGCTTTGAGCTGCTCCTCCTAGTTCTGGCGGAATATACGAAAATTTGTATTGAAATTGGTCTGCATTTTAATTTTTAAAAACATTTATAAATTTTTTTTTTGTTTCTTTTTGCATTACAGACCATGTTGATCTTTTTCCACCAGAACGAGCCTGCTCCATCTCTGCTATTTCTTTCCATTTATCTGCACCCAGCTTTGTTGCATCTTTGTTGATTCAGTACATCCATCTGCTTTTTAGCCTTCCACATGGTCTTTTGCCTTCTATTGAGGCATTCATTGTTACGTAGATACACGGTGGGCCAGACCCGCTTACCGTGCACCCTCCCTCTCCCCCCAAATCCCTATAAATTGCATATCGTTGTGTTCCTTGTAACTAGTTATTAAAAAAAAAAAGCCAATGTTCCCACAAAAAAAAGTGAATGCACTGCCCCAAAATGGCGTCCAAAGATGGCGGATTGACGACTTTGACTTTAGTTAGATTTTTAGTCACTGAGAATCAGCATTTGGCTTAATTTCCTCATAGTTGGTCTATTATCAAAGCTGAATAGTCATAGAATAATAAAACATGAAGAAATATTAAAAAATAATTGGCTTCGGCTATGAAAAACGCCAGTAAAGTTAATTGTTTTAACAAACAAATTTTCAAGTTACAAATCAAGCGTCGTTTGTAATTAAACAGCCTACAATAACGCAAAACGTGCTTAAATAAAACATCTGGAGAATATATTTCTCTTTCTAAAACGCTGATTATTTTTTTAAAAATCTTGAGCAGTTCCGTAGAAAATGCACTTATCCGGCAGAAAAGCGGTACTAGCGTGGGTGCCTACAGGCCTCTACCACACCATTCAGTACACATAAATGGCTTAGTCATAGTGATATAATAACATTTTTGGTACATTATATTAGTTTTATTAGCGAACAAATATTAATGCAATAATTTAATTGTAAAAAAAAAATTAAATTAAAAAAAAATTTATTATTTATTTTTTTTTAATTTAACCTCCTTTATTCTATACGTAGGTCGTTTAAGACGACCTAAATTGTAAAAATGATATAATTATAATTATAAAATTTAATTAAAAAATATCTTGATTTTTTTTATTTAACGATTGCAATTTAACACTTGCAAATTCTTATATACTTCTCAGGAAATGTATCATATTAATACTTGTTTTATAAACTAAAAATGTATACCTAATCTGAACTATATATAATGAATAGCTACCGGGTTCTTTAGAAAAACTCATATATCACTGATTAAAAAATTAATTTTTATTTCCTTTATTTTTTGCAGAAGTTGGACTATATCATAAATAAATAGGAAATTTTAATATTGAATGAATTATTCTCTATGCACAAAGAAAGATAGAAAGGGTGAAGCTATAAGTTCTTCTATAAACCAGAACTGATTGTTTGGATTTGGTCTCAAAATGAGGAAAAACGTGAAATTGAAACAGAAAATTGGAAAAATACTTTAAGCGAACGAAAGGAAGTGCCAAAACCTCGGAAAAGATAAGAAGGACCAGTATCCATTATATAGCTAAGTGATTGTATAGTAGACAGATGAACAGAATATTTCAAGATGCTGCTAAAATGGTCAATTGCAGTTTGGATGATATTAAGTGGACGATGTAGGTTTATTATGGTGAAAACCATTTATTTTCGATTGATATTAATATGATACATTTCCTTAGAAGTATATAAGAATTTTAATTACCTCTAATAATCAGTAAATGTACTAAACACAGTGTTAAATTGCAATCGTTATAATAAAAAAAAAAATCAAGATATTTTTTAATTAAGTTTTATAATTATAATTATATCATTTTTACAATTTAGGTCTTCTTAAACGACCTATGTATAGGATAAAGGAGGTTAAATTTAAAAAAAATAATAATAATTTTTTTTTTTTTAAATTGACTTTACTGGCGTTTTTCATAGCCTAAGCCAATTATTTTTTAATATTTCTTCATGTTTTATTATCCTATGACTATTCAGCTTTAATAAAAGACCAACTATGAGGAAATTAAGCCTAATGCTGATTCTCAGTGACCAAAAATCTAACTAAAGTCAAAGTCGTCAATCCGCCATCTTTGGACGCCATTTTGGGACAGTGCGTTCACTTTTTTTTTTGAAGGAACATTGGCTTTTTTTAATAAATAGTTACAAGGAACACAACGATTTGCAATTTATAGGGATGTGGGGGGGGAGGGTGCACGGTAAGGGGGTCTGGCCCCCAGACTAAGAGGCTTCCAGATGAATCGCTACGAGCTACATGCCCCGCCCATCTTAACCTCCGTGCGTTCATATCATGGGATATTGATTGACCAGTTTCTGTAAGTAGTTCTTTATTGGTCTTTCTTCTCCATGTGTTAGTACTCTGATTTCAGTTATCATGTGGACGATTTTCCTTTCAAATCTTTGCACACTTTTTTCTAGGCTGCTGGTTAGTGTCCAGATCTCACAGCCATATACTAGAAGTGGCTTTATCATAGCATTGTACGCCCTTAGTTTGAGATTTTTCGGGATTGCAATACCTGAGAGGGAAAATAATGCTCTGTTTGCGCTACTTATACCCTGGTCTATTTCTACCCGTTCGTTATTCATTGATGTTATTGTGGAGCCTAGGTGTTTGAATTTTTTTACTTTCGGAATGATTTTCCTTCTATGCAGATCCTGTTATTTGAGTGGAAATTTCGGCTTATTATCATATATTTTATACTGTCTCTCTTATCAGTATTGTAGCGAGTTTTTCAATGTCTTCTTGATTACTTCCAAGAACAGCTACATCATCTGCGTATCCAATGATTTTATGACTCATTCCGACATGAACCCCTCCATTTTCTTGTGGTGTTGCTCTTATAACACCTTCTTCACCCTGACGGAAGCTCGTTCGAACTACGAAAAAAAAATAGTAAACTATGTCACCTAGGAAGCTATCGAAGTGAATTACATCTCAGTTCATCTCGAAAATCGTACATTTTCGGTTTTAAAAATTCTGAGTCTTAAAACCTTATTTTTACAATGACTTTTATCACCACGGCATGAAATTCTCAATCTCATTCATCAATATACATCGCTCCATCGCTCATGGCGGGATCTCCCCTACCGTATTCCACATTGAGCAGACAATAAACGGTTTGGAAAATAAAATAAAGACGAATGAGAGGAGAAATAATAAAACAAAAACGTTGAAAAAATATAATGTTTCATTTCATTTTTAATAAGCCGTTTTTGTGTACTATGCTTTCGGCTAGAATAAAGGATAAAAAAAAACTTTTATTTAAGAAGAACTTGATTGAAAAGGTTGTAAGCTTAAAATTTTGGACAATTTTCCACTTATCTATTAATATATTTTTCGTTTGTAAATAATTCATATTAAACAATTGAAAGATATTAAGTGGAAAATTACCAACAGCTTAACATACCACCATTCCAATTGAGTTACAGATACACACATACAAAAGAATTACTTGGTTATTCAAACCAGAAGGGGATATGTTAAGGTAGAAAAACATAAATATCAATTATTTAATGGGAAATAAAGAATGTATAGAATGATATTTAAAAATGTTTAAATGTTGAAATAATTGCGTATTTCAATGATGATGAACCACTTCCAATATTATTAAACTCATTGATTTTTTTATTTCCATTAGAACTATTTAAAACATGTAAATCAATATCTTCAAAAATAGTTTTGACATGAGCGGTGTCTGTTCCTTATCAACAGCCAGAATCATTATTGTTTTGATATGACATTATTATTGATAATATTAATGATTATAAGTTTTATTGAGAATGTAGAAGGTGAAAAGCGGAATTAGTTGATATAAGGTTGGCTAACTTCTTTTCTTTTTTTTTTCACCACCAATAGTTTCAGAGTACCAGCTTGCCTCTACACGATATCATATAGGTTGCTAATACGAAGTGCGAAATATATTTACGGAAGTTTGATTTTTTTTAAAAAGTGATTTCTTCTCTAAAATTCGAAAATAAAGAAATCCATCCATTTTTAGTCGCATTTTTATTATTTTAATATAAATTTCCTAATATCAGCCATTTCCGACTTATATCTGATTTTGTGGTTCGTCAACATTATACATTGAATAACATTATATTTAACAACCTCACACATTACATTTATACATATTAAACCAATGTAAATATTAACGTTTTGTTGAAAATATAAAGATAGAACAAAATTAAAGAAGATAATAGGGAAAAAAATTTTTCATAACGTGAATTGGGGTGTTTGTGTTTTATAATCATTGATTGTGGGGCGTCGAGATAGATGTTGTGCGCCAAGACAGGGGACCTTGATTTTATCGGGTGGGTGATGCTGGTCGTTTATGGTGATCAGTTGTGGTATTGTGTGGTGTGGGTTGGTAGACGCTTTTACCAACCATTTTTTTGTCGTTTGCAGTGTTTTTGTGTAGGATAGTGGTGGGGTAAAGGTGGTGCTTCGTTGGAGGTTGAAGTACTAACCCTTTTCCAACCCGAGAGGGAAAATGTGGCTTAGGAAATCTTATTCTGGTGGAGGAGTCTCACTTCGAGATGATATATTTTCTACTCCATCCAAGTTTGTGGGTGGCATTTTAGCTCGACGATCCGCTAGGAGTTCGGTGAATGTTAAGATACGTCCAGGGATAATCTTTAGCGGAATGCTTGGCCGGGCGGTTAATGCCTTAGGGACCATCAGTGGTCAACGCGGGACGTGGGGTTTGTGCGTGTGTTGGAGATAGGAGTAGGTGGAGTTTTAGATTTATCTCTTGCTTATGAAGTTTTTGAAAACAAAAATAAATAATATTATAGCCTCCATCGTTGATGTTGGATATTCAAAAGTGTATTTAGTACGATTTGTAAAAAGTTCATAAGTAGAAGATAAGTTATTAATGTAGATTAGAAGTTTATTGCAACATATTAAAACATAATTTTAAAATCATCTATTATATAATACAATTCAGTATAATGTAAAGAACATACTTTATTCAAGCTGCATCCGCTGTGAAGGTTAATTTCATGATTTGACATTTCATTCATTCTTCTTCTCTTTATCTTTTTCATTCTTTCAATCTACCAAATGTCGTAAGTCGTAAGTTCTGTATCTCTGGACCACAAAGGGTGATATTCTGCGGAGGTAACTCGAGAAGATTCTAAGACAAAACAATCACTGGACGACAAAAAACTCTTCCTGGCCAATAAAACGATCTCCCCTCTTGAGGACCGGGCAAGCCATCTTCTAAAATCCATCTCATCCCTCGCGAGCAGAGAGCGGCCCTCGTTCTTGCGGGATGATTGAAAGGACTCGAATCTGACTCTTCGGTACTCGGCCCGTACAGGGAAGGAGTCCATAGTCATCAACGTCCTTCAAGTCCTCAACCTCCAACCGGAGCACTTCATCCCAGTATTTTTCTCCTTTTTCCGGATTTTCTTCTCCCCAAACCGATCCTTTCCCTCGAAGCCACTCTAACTCGAAAAGACATTGAGTTGTAACAGAAGAGTCGAAGGAAGATGAGATCGAAGTATTCTACGATTCGCCAGCTAGGGAATTCGAATCGCATCATCGGAGTGATGTAACCGACTGAGCGATTTTCGTGTCATTGTTGTTCATGTAGAAGAACATCGCTCAATTAGCAGAAGTCAAAACTAAACTAAATAAATTAAACGAATTTTTTGTAATAATTTTCGTTTAAAATACGGAATCTTAAAATTTCGTTGATTAAAAGAATTATGATCAGATTCTGCTTTAAAAAAATATATTTTTAATTTTTTTCCTAATTTATTATTTATCGAGGTGATAATATAATCATTTCATGGTAAAATTTTATGTCCATTTAGGAACTACAAACAGAAATAATAAAAAAAGTATGAATCTACAATACTCATAATTGAGACTAAACCTACTGAATAGGTAACTATCTGAAATAAATAATTACGAGATAGTTCTTAGTTCATTGACTTTTTAGCTATTAGTGTATATGGAAAAGAGCTCATCCTCAGGTACTAGTAAAACATCAAACCAAACTATCCCTCAAATTTAATATCTCTCACTATATCTAGCTTGGTTTGATTTCCTTTAGCGCCTGAAAAATGAGACTTTCAACCATGACTAATAAAAGCCAATGCTGGGCTAGGAATAGAGTATCATATATATATATATAGTTTTCCACAGTTACATTTTAAAAGATACATCTGCAATTGTAAATAGATGATACCATTGAAATCCAAGCAGATGCAGATATAACTCCAGCGAAATTTAAGTAGTGGTGGTTGCGGTGATTGTTGTGAGGCTAATATAAAAGCCTTGGGTTGCTAAGGGATATATGGTCACAAAAGACCCAGAAGGGAATATCTAACCAACGGCTAGGAAAATAATGTATCCCTAAAATAAGATAATAACAACCACCACAGTACAATTATTAGTTTCAACTCCCACTAGTTGGGCGATGCTCTCCTTCGTGTACAACTGTGACACGAGAACTGCTCAGTATCAGCGACATCGCTTCGATGATGCGATTCGAATTCCCAAACACGACGGGTCGCGGAGTACTTCGATCTCTTCTTCCTTCGATTCTCCTGTTACAGCACGACATCTGGTCGAGTAAAAGTAACCTCGAGAGATAGATTCGGGAAGGAGACAAGAAGATCCGGGAAAAGAAGAAAAATTCCGGAGCGAAGGGTCCAGAGGAAGTTGAGAACTCGAAGAACGCTGATGACTGTGGACTCTTTCCGAGATGAGCCGAACACCAAAGAGCTGGATTCGAACCTTTCGACCATCCTGTGAGATCGAGGACGGCTCAACACTCACGAGGGAATGAGTTGAACTTCAGCAGATGGCCTGCCAGGTCCTCCAGAGAGCGAATCGTTCAGTCCACTGAGAAGAATCTTCGGCCATCCAGTGAGTCGAAGAATCTTTCGCAGCTCTTCTACAGAATACTCCACCCTCAGTGGTAAAGAGTACCTGCAGGCTTCTAGCTTCTTAGATTTGACCGTATGAATTGTCTTTTCAGAGATTCCTAGGAACAGACAAAATAAACAAAACAATTAATTATTTAATCAACTTCCAATAATTTTTTATTTGAAATTAATCATTTTGTGAAAAGATGATTATATGATATATGTTTCTAATATAATCATCTCATCATAGAACGACATTCTAACATAAACATTGCACTTTATTCATGGTAAATATTAATGTAATAAACAACAAAGTAATGATAATTTCGAACTACATCGTCACAAACTAACTCAATATCTCATTTCTGAATTTCATAAAAGATTATAGTGTTGCTTCCATAGATAAATAACCAAAAAAAACCTTAATTGTTTTTGTTTGTATCCGTAAAAAGTTGAAAATAAACAGAGACATAATACGATGTTACAAGTTAACTATTCAAGTAGAAATCAGAATTCAAACATTTTAATTTATAATTTATACAGAACATAATTTAACTTACTTATTTTTTAAACTTCATTTAAAGTTGTTAAATATTTGTAATACACGCACCAGAGTTTATACAAATAAACATATCAATTTAAGCCGCATTACTAATTTTTAAATTTAAGTAAATTGTTTTAGACTGATTGAAAACGTTTAATGATTATTATTAATGAGATCGTTTAAGAACAATAACGAATTAACTGTTAACAAACTGTTGTTAAATTATTAAAGTTTGCGATCTGCATTGGTACATAGCTGTGGCAAGATATATTGTAAGTTCGAAGTATCGAAGCAGTTATAATGAACTAAAAAAATATCATCTTTTTTTCAAGGCAACAGGAAAATCACAATATATGCATATCCGTACTTGTACGTACATAAATTAATAAGTTAATTTAACAAAAAATAACATTTATGTTACAATTTGAACTGTACCTGAATTCTAAATTGTAGAGAAATCTTTGCATTACATTCTAAACAGTTTAAAAAACAATATTCTTCCGTAGATGCAGTTATATATTTAATTTATCAAAGAGCTGTAACATTTATTGTGAAGTGCGTCGTACAGAACAAAGACTAGGCTGAGGGCGAAGTACAACTGTAGGGTACAATGTTCAAAGTAGTGGGGCTATATTAAAATGTAAAAATTTGTCTATTTCTTATCATAATTTGACCATTATTGAATATGTATGCTCATGATTATAACAAATATATGAAGATTTGGTTAATTTAACAAGCAGTTATATTTATTTTATAATTCGAGCAGTACTATTTTTCCAAAATTGCAGTGTAAATTTTCATTAATTTCTTAAATAGTTTAAAAGTCACTATTCATTTGTAGATGCAGTTAATCTTTTGATTTATCAAAGAGCTATTAAAATTATATGAGAACTGCGACTAGACTGAGGGAGAAGTACAAGTGTTGGGTATATTGTTCAAAGTAGAGGGAGTATAGAAAATAAAGAAATTTAGTTATTTTTTAACATAATTTGACAATTATTGCATATGTATGTCATTGCTTATACTATATAAATTAAGAATCGATTAATTTAGCAAGCAGTAATATTTATTTTATAATTCGAGCAGTACCTTATTTCTGAATTGCAGCGTAAAATTTCCCATTCTTTCTTAAACAGTTTAACAATCACTATTGGTTAGAAGATGCAGTTTAACTTTTGGTATATCAAAGAGATATAACAATTATTTGCGAAGTACGTCGTACAGAACAAAGACCAGACTAAGGTCGAAATACAGGGTCTAGAGTCCAATGTTCAAAGTAGTTGGTTATATTAAAATTTAGAAATCTATTTATTTTTAAATACAATAGAACAATTATTAAATACTTATACTTGCAGTGCATAAATTAAGAATGAAGAATTTAAAAAGCAGAGAATTTTTTTTTTGTTTGATAATTTGAACAGTACCTTATGTTTAACTTCAGAGTAAATTGTCAAATGCGTTCTTAAATATTTTATAGTATCGATTTATTGACGCAGTTAAAGTTCTGATACATCGAAAAACTGTTATGATAATTTAAAACTTCATCTTTACGGAGCTAGAACTAAACTTTGAAGTACCTTGTTCCAATTGGCCCAACCACGTGGTGTCCAAAGTTCAAATTACTCGAGTTAAATTAAAATAAATTTATTTATTTTCTAATACAACAGGACAATCGTTAGTAATTATTTAGATGAGGACCGCACAGGTTGCGGGTGGTTCACAATCACATCGGTCACACTTGCTCATGAAATGCCGAAAACTGTCTTTCGGGTAAACCCGGATGCATTCGGCACTCCAAGTGTGATCGAAGTGATTGTGAACCGTCCGTGACCTATACATCTTCATCTAAATAATAACCCAATCGTTTATCATTTACTTTCAACATTCTTCATACATATATCAATAATTTAGTGATTTAATAGGCAGTAACACTTATTCAAAATTTTAAAATGAATCTTATTTTTAAACATCGGAAAGCCATTTCAGTTCATTTCTCAAATAGTTTTAAAATGATGATTTATCTGTAGATGCTGTTCTACTTCAGATTTATAAAAACAATTAAATAAATAGAAAAATGTTGATAGTTACAAACCTGAAACTTCGGGAAATACTAATAGAAGTAAATGAAGTATGGTGCTTTTATATTCTAAGTAGTACAGTATAGAAAAATAAAGAATTTTAATTAATTACTTCCGCGTCATTGACAATTGTTAAATTGTCGTAACATTTATTTAAAGGTTATGTTACATTTTGTT